ATCATCCGGGATCTCTCCCGATCTCTATGGGTTTTCAAAGATAATGACCAAAGGCTCTGCAATGGCATTTGCCAACTCCCTCAGTACCCTCGGATGCATTAAATCCAGACCCATGGATTTGTGTATGTCTAGCTTTTCTAAATAGTTCCTAACCTGTTCTTTATCCACCAAGGGCTGCCCACCCCTCCCCATACTGTGTTGCCTAGTACAGTAGTCTGGGAGCTGACCTTGTCTGTGAAGACAGAGGCAAAGAAAGCATCGAATACTTCGGCTTTTCCCACATCATCTGTCACTAGGTTACCTCCCTTATCCAGTAAAGGCCCCACACCCTCTCTGATCACCCTCTTATTGCTAACATGCCTGTAGGAACCTTTTTTGTTACCCTTCACATCCCGTGCTAGCTGCAATTTCAATTGCACTTTTGCCTTCCTGATTACTCCCAGGCATTCTCGAGCAATATATTTCTACTCCTCCCTAGTCATCCATCCAAGCTTCCACTTCTTGTAAGCTTCCTTTTTGTGTTTAAGCTCACCAAGGATTTCCCCTGTAAGCTGATCTTGTCACTTAACATATTTGCTTTTCTTACTGTTCATCTGGATGGTTTGTTCCTGTGCTTTTAATAAGGCTTCTTTAAAATACTGCCAGCTTTCCTGGACTCCTTTCCCTTTCATGTTAGCATCCCAGGGGATCCTGCCTATCAGTTCTCTGAGGGAGTCAAAGTCTGCTTTTCTGAAGTCCAGGGTGTGTATTTTGCTGCTCTCCTTTCTTCCTTTTGTCAGGATCCTGAAATCTACCATTTCATGATCACTGTTGCCCACGTTGCCACCCATATCTACTTCTCCTACTAGTTCCTCCCTGTTTGCCAACAGCAGGTCAAGCTGTGGATGTTCCCTGGTCGGTTCCTTCAGCACTTGTACCAAGAAGTTATCCCCAGCTTTTTCCAAAAACTTCCTGGATTGTCTGTGTACTGCTGTAGTGGTCTCCCAACAGATGTCAGGGTGGTTAAAGTCGCCCATGAGAACCAGGGCCGGATCTGGAAGCTTCTCTTAGTTGTCTGAAGAAAGCCTCGTTTACCTCATCCACCTGATCCAGTGGTCTATAGCAGACAACAACCACATCATCACCTCTGTTGTTCCTGACTCTAAACTTAACCCATAGACTCTCAACAGGCTTTTCTCCCTCTATATACTGAAGCTCTGAGCAATCATACTGCTCTCTTACAAACAGTGCATCTCCTCCTCCTTTTCTCCCCTGCCTGTTCTTCCTGAACAGTTTATACTCTTCCATGACAGTGCTGCAGTCATGTGAGTCATTCCACCAAGTCTCAGTTATTCAAATCAAATCATAGTTCTTTGACTACGCCAGGGCTTCTAATTCTTCCTGTTTGTTTCCCAGCCTTCTTGCATTTGTGTACAAACACCTTAAATAACCAGTTGATTGCCCTACTTTGTCCATTCGAATCAGGGGTCCTCCTTTGTTGCCTATTCCTCCTTGTTTTTCTTCCCAGTATCCCACTTCCCCACTTACTTCAGAGGTTAGGTCACTGTCCCCAATGAACCCTAGTTTAAAGCCCTCCTCACTAGGTTTGCAAGCCTGCCCACAAAGATGCTCTTTCCTCTACTTTGATCCCACCTGTGGGCCACATGTTGAGCTCCACATAAACCCAAACTGCTCCGCGGGCCACAAAAAAACAGGCTGCATGTGGCCTGCGGGCTGTGTATTGAGTACCCCTGGACTAGATGACCTACTCAGGGCCTTTCTAGTCCTTCACTTCATAAGATTCTGAAATTAAAAAAAAGTTGTAGCAAGTAACATTTCTTTGTGCTTTTTGTCCAAGAGTTTCCATTCACAGTAAGGCTGCCCATATGATGAGGATTCAGTAGGAGCTGCTTCTTATCCACTGGAATTTTGTCTGATAGTTTCAAAGCCCTGTTATTCTTCGTGTCTTTAGAAGTAAAACTTGTAGCTGTTGTATGCAGAACTCGCTTTGCCTTAAAGGGGATGTAAATGACTCTTTGTATTAAAGGACAGCTGTGAGCGAGTCTACACAGAGTCAGCTTTTCTCTTTACTCCAAACATTGGTCACAGCACTGAACACTCATTCCACTTGACTGTTCATTCCTGTCTTGCATGGGGAAATTCTCATTGATATAGTAGTTTTGCTGTGAGCAAACGTTTTGTAGTTATGAACACAAACAGATGTTTTGATTAATGAAATGAAAAACTGGCACAGTTCAAATCCCTTGGAAGAAGTTCCTGCTACTCAAGGCCATCATATGAAAAACCAGGACTAGCCTAGTCAACAGAGACAATATGGTCACTTTATCTGTGGAGTCTGTCTGTGTCATGTACTTTTTACCACATTTCCATAGTCTGAGCCATGTTTACTATGACCAGCCTGTGACCTTAGCTTATAAATGCCATGATGACACCACAGCTGTTCGGCTGAAATATGTCTGGCAAATTCAGATGTATCCAAGTCTGTAGAGCGTGGGTGGATGGTGAAGGGAGGATTACATTTCTTAGATACTTTGAGATTATCATTTTACACAGCTCTGATCTCTCACCCATTGCCTTTTTTCCATACTTCATAATGCTTTTCCTTTTTTAAATCAAAGTTCATGTGTGATGTGGAAAAACTTAGCCCGAGGTGGGTGTGGAGAATGGGAAATCTCCAGCCATAGTAGAAGGTACACAGTCATTGGCATTTGTTTCTCGTTATGATACATGTTTACACACCAGCTCAAACATCTGCTGAAGATCTGGGCGGGAGCTTTGTTGGTCACAGCTCTCAGCCGCGTGTTGAGCTACATTTTGGAAACCGCAGTACAGCAAAAGAATAACAACGTAAGTGGAGATGATAAAAATAAAACTTGCCGTGGGAGTCTCTGTCTGTAATATATCACCTTTGGTTTTTTGTTTTTTCCAGTCTGGGTCTGGGTCGTACATACAGGAGAGGACCTAATTTAAAGGACATCAAGTTTATCTTAGCTGTGAGCATATTGATAACATGTGCTTGACGAGACATTGATGGCTGACTCAGGGCTTCTTTACATGGGGCAATTGACAGGCTGATCTGTAATGGTAACATTATACCACAGCTGTATAATTCCTCATGTGGATGCTATTCTGGAGGAATAGTGACTATTTCAGGCTAATAAGCCTGCTTTGGAAGTGGAGTTTTATACTGGCATAACTACAGTGCTGTCATGATACTGCTGGAGTTCTGCTAGTCAGTTTCCCCCATACAGACAAGGAGTAATAGGTACATATTGTGAGCCTTGTCCTCAGCTGGTGTAAATCCACGCAGGTCCATGGATTTCAATGGCATAGGTAGGCTACGTCTACACTGGCATGATTTTCCGAAAATGCTTTTAACGGAAAAGTTTTCCGTTAAAAGCATTTTCGGAAAATCATGCCAGTGTAGACGTAGCCTACCTATGCCATTGAAATCCATGGACCTGCGTGGATTTACACCAGCTGAGGACAAGGCTCACAATATGTACCTATTACTCCTTGTCTGTATGGGGGAAACTGACTAGCAGAACTCCAGCAGTATCATGACAGCACTGTAGTTATGCCAGTATAAAACTCCACTTCCAAAGCAGGCTTATTAGCCTGAAATAGTCACTATTCCTCCAGAATAGCATCCACATGAGGAATTATACAGCTGTGGTATAATGTTACCATTACAGATCAGCCTGTCAATTGCCCCATGTAAAGAAGCCCTGAGTCAGCCATCAATGTCTCGTCAAGCACATGTTATCAATATGCTCACAGCTAAGATAAACTTGATGTCCTTTAAATTAGGTCCTCTCCTGTATGTACGACCCAGACCCAGACTGGAAAAAACAAAAAACCAAAGGTGATATATTACAGACAGAGACTCCCACGGCAAGTTTTATTTTTATCATCTCCACTTACGTTGTTATTCTTTTGCTGTACTGCGGTTTCCAAAATGTAGCTCAACACGCGGCTGAGAGCTGTGACCAACAAATCAGCTGATTATCTGACCGGGCCTATTTTAGTTGTATTCCAGAGGTGGATTATAGTTTTGTGGGGCCGGGAATCAGACCAAATTGGGTCGCTTCTCCACCCCTTCTGCCTGCACCCTTCATCCTCGGTTCTCCTGCCAGGGAGTGAAGCTGGGGCTCAAGAGCTTCACCTGCTCCCCTGGAGTGCTGGGTGGATGGAGAGGGGCAAGATCCCATGTCCCATCCTGCTGTCTGGCAGACGTGTCAGGCCGATAGAGCAGGTTGGGGCGGGGGAGCCAACGGCCTGGGCAAGGTGTGTGGGAGACAGTTACACACTGAGAAGGGGTGGGGCCTCAGGCAGAAGGGGCGGGGCCAAGAGCAGACAGCCTTCCGAGCTACCTGAAGCCCACAGCACCCCAGCAGCCATTTAAAGGGCCCAGGGCTTCAGCCACCACTGCTGCCACAGTTGCAGCAATGGTGGCCGGCAGCCCTGGGCCCCTTTGAATCACCAGGCCCTGGGGCAATTGTCCCTTTGCCCCTCCCCCATCAGCAGGCCTGTGTGGGAGCACCCATTTTTTTGGGGCCCCCAAGTCACTAGGACCCCAGTGGTAGGGTGGCTAATCCACCACTCCATTTATCTATAGTTTCTGCAGAAATTTAAAATAGAACCATTTTTTTTCTGAAGCCATATTGGTTATTACAAATTTAGGGCTTAAGCCAGTTGGGGAATGTGTCACATGTGTTGGAAACTAGACCATCTCCATGGGCAGGAGAGGGAGAGAGAGTGTCTGTCCACGTAGCAGCTAGACATCCACAGCTGTCCCGTGTTAGCAGACTCATGGGGTTCAGACTGTGGGGCTGAGCCCCATGAAGACATTTCCTGTGTGTGTGTGTGTGTGTGTGTGTGTGTGTGTGTGTGTGAGAGAGAGAGAGAGAGAGAGAGAGAGAGAGAAAATAAGGATTCCCACGTCTCAGCTTCCAAATCCATTTTCTCATGGTTTACATTTAAACTCCTTGTGTTTGCAGAACATGGCTTTGTTGGGTATTCAGCAGAACTTCTGCTTAACAACACACTACCAGACTACAGTACGGGGGAGTCCTTCTTCACCGTTTTCGGAGTGTTCTTCCCAGCCGCGACAGGTACTGTGCATTTTATTTCCTGAAGCTGTGTCTCCTAAGCTGCATTGCAGAAGTGAGCCCAGGTAGCAGTGTGATCCGGTCTTAGCACCTTTAAAGGCAGCAACGCAAGCAGCTCTCCTGCTTATCGGAGTTGGCTGTGCCACCCTGCCTCAGAAAGTGCATGGGAAATCAGGGATTCTGGGATGCCTCACATCCTGCACAGCCTCACTGTCCTCTTTCATGCAATCTTCTTTTTCTTTCTGGTCAGAAATTCCATGTGGTTTTTAACCTATTGGTGCTGAACTGTGGTTGGTTTGACCTCCTAATTCTCATGCTTTTTTTTCTCCCTAATGAACATTGACTCTTATCTTGACTCCTTGATACAGGAGGCTGGAATTCTTTTGTATGCAGTGATTGTTATCTAAGTAACCTGTCCTGACCACCAGAGCAGAAAGTTAGGCATTGGTTTAGGTCAGTGTTAGACTCTACTATTAACCCAGCGTGTCACATTTGAGCAAGATTTATTTTCTACATTTTGGGTAACACCTCTGAAATAAGCTAGATGGGCATTCTGCTCCCGTTTTAGATGGGGTAACTAATGCATGGGTAAGTTTTACTTAAGGTCACTCAGCAAATCAGTGGTAAAATTGGGAACAAGTCCTGGATATGTTGACCCCTAACCCTCTGCTCAGTGCACCAGCCCACAGTTACCCTCTCTCCCAACTTACAGGTTTTTCTTTGCAACAGCCTCTCTTGCGGTAGCTATTGACTCTTCCTAATGAGTGCTGCTGTGTTGATGTGGTGATATGTGTAAGGTGAGGCAGGTGGCATGGTGCATGAAATACCATTGCTTATCATGCCAGCTGACACTTTTGCTAAATTTAATTGTGAGGCTGGTTTTATTTCGCTTCCCTCAATTAACAAAAAGACCATACAAATTGAATCTGGCCACACCAAGGGGGAATGAAATCACCATCAATTCGTGTTAGAATACCTCTTGTTGATGCTGTTTTCATGCTATAAAAAGTACCGATTGTAAGCAGTTTCCATGGTGATGAATCCTTGGATTATAGAATGAACTTTGAGAGGATTAGCTCTAAGCAACTAGCTGAAAGTCATTAGCAGAGTTGCTGCAATACAAGGAGGCATATTATAGGGTTTCATAAAACAGATGGAATAAACGAGTGTTCCAGGAGCATAAATACTTGTTTTGTTAGAAATCTACCTTGGATGCTTTGGAAGAGCAAGTGTTCCCCTTGCTTCCCTTTTGTCCCAAGGTATTCGCTTAGCCAGCCTGATCTCCAAGGCTACGTGAACTTATTGCAAAGACTGACTGAGGAATGTTTCTTTCAGTGGCTTGTGTGGCGCTTAACAGAAGGGAATTTGCTTCCCATTTCCTTAAACACTCCTGTAGTGCTGTTTGGACGATGCTAACGATAAAGGGAGTGTTTGCTAGCGTGGGGCTAGAAGAGGTGCTGATGTGTCGGGCCTCTGCGTCTCCTGTTTTATGCATTTTTGGAAGCTTTTGTTGAGTAGCTGGAATACTTGCCCTTTTGCTCACTTGTTATGGAAAGACTGAAGCACCTCAAAGGCTTTTGAATCCTCTATCATTGTTCTAACACAACCTAAGGGCTTCATCTTCCATGGGGATTGAGTGTATTCAGTACCTTAATGGAGACTCGGCCGCTGTGAAAGTACCTGAGTTATTTCTTGTTTGCCTTTCGTTGGACATGCTTATTCTAAGCCCAAACAAGTTGGGCAGTGATTTGGCTGGCAGTTTCTTGCATATGCCTAGTGAGAGTTTGTAGTACTTTGAAACATTTCCTGTGCTATCTTATCAGCGTAGCTAATGGCACCATAAGCTCCCCCCCACCCCCGGAGAATTACTGCTCCAAGTTCAGCTTCAAGATGTAGCATCCCAGGAAAGGCAATGGCAGATGATATTGTTTTTCATTTCTCTCTTACTCATGATTACTGTCTATGGAGTGCAGCATCTCCTAACCAGATGAACAGGGGGAAAAGGAGTACAGTAAAGTTGCAGAGTTAGGTCCATCAATGGCTATTAGCTAGGATGGGTAGGAATGGTGTCCCTGGCCTCTGTTTCTTTGGAAATGGGAGACAGGGGAGGGATCACGTGAGGATTACCTGTTGTGTTCCCTCCCTGTGGGGCATCTGGCATTGGCCACTGTCAGCAGACAGGATACTGGGCTAGATGGACCTTTGGCCTGATCCAGTATGGCCGTTCGTATAATTATGCACATCAAAGGTACGAATGGACTGGTCAGTCACACACCTCGTTTGGACCAGGAAACATGCAATCAGACAGCTGAGCCCCTGTAAGCAAACACAGGGGTAGGTAGGCCATTGTACAATTTTGGTGTAGACCAACCCTAAGTGACCTGCTCTATATCATGCATGAAGTCTGTGGCGGAGCTGAGAATTGAACCTAGGTTCCTTGAATTCCCATTCATTCCCTTAGCCACAAGACCATGCCACAAAAATTGTGAGGCACTCAGCCATGGCCCTTAGCTAGATTCTGGTTTGTTAGCTAAGATAAAGGGGAGTAGCATGCATTTTCTTCTCTCCCCTCCTTCAGTAACAGTCCCTTGTAGAGTCAGACTGATTGAACTGGCAGGAGAGAGGTTTTGATATGATGACTTTTTAATAATAGAAGTGAAATAATCAAGGAACTAGAAGGTTCTGCCACGTATGGGGACAGTCTGTCAGAATGCAAAGAGTGCTGCTCCTCAGCTTCTACTTGAGGGTTTTGTGATGGATGATGAAGACCTCTCTCTCAGCTTGTCTCTGCTGGACATTGCAGGATTTATGTCTGGGAGTGAAGAGGAACTTCACAGAAAGAAACCATTAGAGTTCCAAGTTCAGAATGGTTAAAGTACATTCACTTTGTGGAGTTCTGTATGGTGGGGGCTGAGTGGGGTTTGGAGGTTGGAACTATCTCAGAGTGAAACGATTTCATAGGGCAGTGATTTTCAACCTGTGGTAGGACTATGTCTAAAGAGTCTGGGAAAGGTGGTTGTTACCATAGAACAGTGTTTTCCAGTCGATGGCCCATGGACTCCTAGGAGTCCGCACACTGTGTCTAAGGTTTCCAAAGGAGTCTGCATCTCCATTCAAAATTTTGTAGCAGTCTGCAAATGAAAAAAAAAGTTGAAAACCACAGCCATAGGGCATAGAAGTAGAGGGTTAGAGTAATGGGAAGTTCTTTCCAAATGCCAGCCTTTAATAAATCCATTATTAATAGTGGAAATACTCACACATAAGGTAACATTAAGAACTAGAATGTATCATTGAAGTGATATTAAGGAAACTGTGCTGCTCTGTGTAATGAGGCATCAGGCTCCAATTATGCGTGGGTCCCTGTGTATCGCACCACTTGTGAGCAAACACTTTTCACAGAGCAATTAATCCAAAGCTGACCTCAATGGAAATCTACACAACACTTTCAAAAGACAAGCCTGAGAGCTCAAATGTATAACTTTGCTAGACACTAAAAATCCTGGTCTTAATAAAAAATACTGGATTTATGGCTTATCATAACGTGTAGCCCACTAACCCGCTTTTTTGTCCTATGACTGCTGAGATATTAATTGGCCACTTCACCTTGAATTGTTTCTTAGCATATATGTTAACTACTCATGCTAAACAATCTGTTCCCCCATGTATTTGGGTGTGACATTCTGAGTACCTTCTAAGTCTGAAGAAGAGCTTTGTGTAGCTCAAACGCTTGTCTCTTTCACCAACACAAGTTGGTCCAACAAACAATATTACTTCACCCACCTAGTCTCTGAAGTGAAGCTGAGTATATTGTACTTTCTGGGGATTTCATTTAAAGAAAAATAAGGCTGTGTTCCAAATTCTGTTGTTTCTCTGGATTTCCAGCAGTCCGAGTGGAGTTCGTCCGGTTTTACACCGACACTAGGTTTGCCTGGTGCCCAGTTTTTGACTGAAAAGTCTGGTCAAAAGGGGTTTGTAGGGTACCTGGTCAGAAGCACTGACTGGATTTCAAAAGTCTGAATAATGCCTGCAGGGCACCAGAAAAGGGGACTCGGCACTTGAAAACACCACCTGAGGAGGGGGCCACCAATGCCTGAAGCCATGGGGACCAGGAGGGACCAGGGCAGGGGACAAAGCAGCATGGGTGAGAATGGGGAGGGTGCCAAGTAATCAACCTATGCCAGTCACTTCTCAGTTGGGGCTACCTCTTATCTGCATCTTGTTGGCGGGAAGGCAGTCAGGATCTGTGTCACTTCTCAGCCTGGCTCTGCAGAGGCAAGTGAGTCCTGGGGCGAGTGAGTGAGTGAGTGATGGGAGGGAGAGTAAGTGGCTGAGGCAGAGCCTGTGGGGTCCAGGTTTAAGAAATGTGAAAGTTGGAAACGCTAAGTTAGTCTCAAATTCTTCTCCTAGTAATCTATTTCTTTCCATGCAATAGCCACTTAAAGCATTTCAGAGGGAAGGAGTGTTTAGCTGGCTTTGTTCTTAAAAGTTCTGTAATTTAATGATAAAGAGGTGATCCATGTGCGTGTGTACGTACATACATGTTGCTGTCTTGTATGTGTATTTATGGGTATGGAGGAATATTGACCATGTCACAAAGGCTAAAATAATTACTGTCGAGGGAGTAAAAATACCTGTATTTTTATAACTTCTCCAAAGCACAAATGAATGTATTTTTTCATTAACACAATATATATACCCCCACCTCTGTGACTTCCACTCCAGTTCATCTGATGAAGTGGGTTTTACCCATGAAAGCTTATACCCTAGTAAACCTGTTAGTCTCTAAGGATACGTCTACACTAGCTCGTTAGTTCGACGAGGAGTAACAGTAGTTCTAATTAGGATCTTTAATTCGAACTACCTACTCCGTGTCGCGTGTAGCCGCGGGCACGGAGTTCGGACTAAGGGATTTAAAAATGGCGGTGCCCGGGAACATGCAAATGAAGCCCAGGATATCTAAGTGTAGACATACCCCAAGCTACCCACAGGACTCCTCATTTTTT